TCTACGACTTTTTGCGGGTCCATGCTAATAGCAGCTTCCATATCTCCGAAGTGCTTGGCTTTGAGCTCCTGCTGGGCATCGAAAGAGTTCGCCATGACTCCGGACTTGTCCCGAAGAAGTGTCAACGCCTTGAATGGTTTCTTAACCCTCTTTCCAGCTGGTCGGAAAAAGTTAAGGGCCCGAAACATCTCCTTGGTAGCACCAGCATTTGCTTCGCCCTTGACCTGATTGCCTAAATTGCTGATGTACTCTCGCTTGTCCGCAGCAAGCTGCCTCACAAGGTCTCGGCGAGTTGTATGTAAGGTGAAGACGGCCCGAACCATAAGCACTTCCCATCCTACGCGACGCTCATTACTCCGCTCACGTCCACGCAAGGCCGCCCAGCATATACGCAAAGTCTCTCTATCTGAAGCCCTCCGTATCTCAAGAACTCTTCTTGAAATCCTTTTCTTCGCCTGCAGCAAGAACCATGATCTCTCTGACACAAAAGGCTTCCTGGGTTGGACAGCAACTTGGCACCTCTTTTGTTGTTGACGCGCACGGGCGAACAATGTTTCTGCATGAAGGTGAACGTTGCTTTCCCAGTCCGTTGCCTTGCCATGCTTCCTGATGGAACGTGTTTCTGCGGTGACACTCACACAGCCCGCACAAGGTATACAAGCAAGGACGCACAAAGCTTCATGATCCTCATGCGCGTTGCAAAGATCAACGTCAACCTTGCAAGCTTCAACGAGTCCATGCCAAGCGCAAGGGGCCGCAACGTAATCAATACACTTATGCTTCCAGGTCTTTTGCAGCGACTCTGGAAAATCTTGACTGGGGTAGGTATTGAACAAAGCTAAGCGAAATCGACTGCAGATGCCCACGAGACACTCTCCTGCGATGTCGGCTCGCTCTTCCGCCAGCGACCCGACAACTTCTCTGTCGTGCCTCGATACAGTAGCATTTGCATCGCCCAGGAAGAGCAAGGGTGCAACACCCTCAACTCTAACGATGTCCTGATGCGCTTGCCTCCACCATGCACGTATCACACTTTCAGGCAGCAGCGAGTGCGGCGCATGGTAGGTTATCAGAACTAGGTCGATCCCAGCAACCTTCAGCCGGATAACCAACCAGTCAGGCCTGGCTTGCAGCACGGTCACAGCTTCATTACCAAACCCTCCAAAGAGCTCAAGCTCATCAGCGATAGCAGGTGCATTCACCCAAAAGGCACATCCATCCTTGCCTTTGAGCGCCGCCGATTGCACCACTAACCAACCATCTAACAAGTACTCCGCATCATTCGCCAATCGAGTTTCTTGCAACGCAAAAATGTGCACTTTCTCTCGCTGAAGTTGTTTGCGTAGCATCGCACCTTTATGCTTCAACGTACACACATTGGCAGTACAAATACGGAGCCTGACTGTCTCCCGACGGCTTTGCACCCGCTTGTTCACGTCAGCACATACCGCTTCAGCGCACTCAAGTGGCAGAAAGTCCCGGACTTCGTAATTCCCCTCTGCGAGTTGTGCAAGATCAGGCAAACCTTGCACTTTGCGGCCAGCGGCCCAAGCCCAATCAAGTAGAGGATGAGCAAGCAGCCTAATCACACTTCGCGGAGCCTGGCAACATGGGCCCCTGGCATGCTGGAAAAAGTCCGCGACCCTGTCGGCAAGCTCATTGCCAAAATCACCCGCATGACCGCGTGTCCAGCAAATCTCAAGCAATGTATGCTTATGTTCATGGATTTGCACAATTTTACGCACAAGTTTCGCCGGATCATCGTCGTGACTGCTGCTCAAGGCAATGGTGCCCAAGGCGCAACCTTGGGAGAACTCAGAATCGACAATCAACTCCACACGAGCCCAAGGCGGAACGCTCAATGCCCAACATGCTGCCATGAGCAAGCCCATGCTTTCAGCTCCATTGTTGGTTGCAAAACGTCCGTCGTTGACACATCCGCCTGCCCAACCGATGTAACACCAAGCACAACCATGCCAAGCAAACAAGACCAGGCCGTAGCCGGCCCTACCTGCACGCGCAGACCCATCTACATAGACTCGAAACGCGGTAGGCACTCCCAAGGGCGGAGGGCCCCATTCGTTCGAGCACAACAACCACCACGGCAGGCGCAGTGATTGAACATCATGACGCCAAAAATCGAACCATTGGCCGCTGCAGTGCTGAAGGGTCGATTCAAGCTCATCAACACTGCCTGGACTATATGCAACAAGGTGATCACTCAAGCTCAGCGACTGTCTCCGTGAGTGAGAGAGCTCCTTGTAACTTTCATTTTGCTCGCGCGAGCTGCGCTTCAAGCACTCCGTACAACTGGACCCCAGACAAGCGTCATGCTCCGCTTCTGCATTTGCTGAGGCCTGCGTCAGATGTAATTTGTCGGAGGGAGGGTGAGGTGAAACCTCAATTGAGCCATAATGTACACTCTCGCTAGGAGCAACAGTCATGGAAGACATGCTATAAGAGTCTGGGTTGCTATTGTGCATACCGTCACTGCCACGTCCTGTACATAGTGACGGCCTAGTGGGTGTGACATGCTGTACATCAAACCTCACATGTTTGCCGCTTTTCTCTATGACCACAGGATGCCCTACACCAAGGCACTGATGCTTGAGTGCTGGCTTGAGTGCTGCCTGCTGATCTGTTCCTTGGCCTGGAGACGGCAGTGTAGGATCAACAGTAAAAGTAGCCGGCCCGGTTGAAGCTGGGGCTTTGCACTGCGCTTCGCACAGCATCCATCCTGTTGACCCCCTGTCGCATCGTTGCAAGGCGGCAACCGCATCATCTTCAATTCTTGGGTCCTGCCAAAGCGGCGACAGCGAAGTAACAACTTCGCCACTCATGCTCTCAAATATTAATTCAGCCTGAAGCTGCAAACCACTGAATTCTGCAGCTGCCGGGCTAACAAACGTAGGATCGCCACAAACATCATGGTTCCATCCCCTGCAGACGGAAACCAGATCGCCAACCCATTGAAGTTGGCACTGCCCAGAGGGTCCCCGCAGGCTCGGCTCTGGGCTTAGGGAGGGACTGGAGCCACAGGAGCTGTTGGATCCATTCCCTGTGACTTGTCCTTCACCCTGCTGCTTCTTCTGGGAGTTCTCGAACCGCTTCTTTCCGCAGCTGCGGACAAGGCTTCTGAGTTTTCCTGTGCGGCCGTCAAGGTCTCCAGAAGTTGGCGACATTTCTCTCGATGAAGTTCCCTTGCCTCCTGTTCTTTGAGTTGTTCTGCATGACTTTCCTCTGCATCCATGTCGTCCTCGGAAGATGACCCTGCGACCTCCTCGACAATGGAGCCTTGAGCCTGACCTTCCTTGGCCAAGCGCGCGAGCTGACTTGTGGCCTCGCTGAGCTGGTCCATCCACGCACGTTCCGCTTCTTCGAACTGAACCATCGTGGCTTCCTGCTTTTGAAATTGTTGCGTTAACAAGCTGGTTACAGAGGCCAGATAGGTTGTCCAGCCCGCAACGTACTGCTTGCGTTGCGTCCGTAATTGCTCCAGATTGCTTCGCGCTGTGGTCTGCATCGTCACTGTCTTGTGTAAGCTTTTTGCAGCCTGCTTTGTGGAAGACTGTGCGTGATGCGACACAATCTCCGCAACACCTGGAGGCAATTCGGCATTGGATTGCTGCAAAGCGACCACGAGTTGTTCCAACTGCCTTTCGGCAGTCGTTTGCACCGCCTGACCCGTGCTCTGCTTGGTTCCTGCCAGCTGGCTGGGAGCTGTGATTTGTCCCACTGGCGGAGCGGGTAGAGCATCGCTGCGAGGCACCGCAGCAGTGATCTGGCCGTCGCCAGTTCCTGGATGCCCTTTCTTTCCCTTGCCCTTGCCCTTGCCTTTTCCACCTTCGTTGTCCGATGTGATCCAAGGAGCCCTCCGAGGGGATTTGCGCCTTGGCGATTTGGGCATCTGCTGCGAGTATCCTTGGTTCCAATGGTCTGTCTGCCATCCGTCTGGCCACCATGTGTTGTGCACGTACCCTGCATTCTGTGCCCCACTGCCCCCATTGCCGCACTGAGGGCAATATAGGGCTGTAGCTTTCCGCCACTGCCGGCAGGGTTGGCACCACCAGCTTTGCATGCCTCCTTGACCTTTGCCCGCCATTGCTATGCGAAACTCTCGCGGCAGCGAACTTCCCGAGTGATGCTGTTCCAATCTCTGGCAATCTTGCCAGAGGACTGCAACCGGCACCGGAAAAGACCCTTGTCCTTCGGATAACCAGGTCCGTAGCCTGGTACGTGAGCGCGTCCTTGATCTGCGCGCTGCTCTGTGAGCTGAGGTCTCTCTGAGGCGGGACCCTACTTGTCGAGCCCTGCCACTGTCCGACGTGGTGAACAGCCCACCCAGCAAGAAAACTATACAAAATGATCCCCGCTGCTCTCATGCACTGACGCTGCACACCAGGTTGGAGTAGGTCTATCAAAAGACAGCTACTGAATCCAAGTAATCCCGATGCCAGCTACCAGGTGGAAGCAAGTGGATCAGCCACAGGTTGAAGAACGTCAGCCAAACAAAGTAGAAAGGAAACGTGGGCCACCTAATGGCCGCACTTAGGGCTAATGCACAAAACGTTTGAGCAAAAGCGCCTCGTAGGCACCTACTTGAGCCTTCTTGTATCACGTGACCGGTATGTAGTCAGAAGTTCACTAGTATGCAGACAAAGAGCACCGCTGCAAGAGGTTTCTTGGCACCAGGGCCAGGAAGGGATTCGTTCCTGGAGTCGAACATCGCTGCCCAGGCTTTGGATGCCTGGGCACAAGCTTCTTTCAAAGACGGGACACAATCTTCTTTATCCTGTTTCGGGCCCGAAGTAATGACCGTTGCAGGCCAACCAAATTGCCGCAGGATTGGACGTGCTGACCAGCGCAATTCATGAAAGCGCATGTTTTTTCGTGATGTTTCGGGCATCGTGAACGTGCTTCATGTCGTTCTCGTGATGGATGCCAAAACATGAGAAGACTGTTTGTCATGCAGATGGTTACAACAGTGGATGCCCGCAAAGGTACCTTCCCCAACTGGCCACTGAGACCGATGTGGACCGTTTCACGCGGCTCTCAGGCGCAATCAGCAAAGATCGTCACTAGGCTCCGTGAACGATTTGGACCGGCGCCAGGTGTCGAGGCTGTGGTGGTTCTAGCTCGACACCATGCATGTGAGCAGTGTGGCGTACTCCGGCTAGCAAAGAGACCTGGGCAGTACAAGCTGCAATGATTCATTGCGGCAGATTTCGCCGGCATGGGTACTGTCGCTGCTATCAGGTTGCTGATACAACCTTCGCAGCAGCTGCGAAGAAGGCCTTGTCGACTGCTTCAAGATGCAAACAGCACCAGGGTCAAAGACTATCTCAGTGCATATCGGCATGTCGCATAGACTTCCGTGCGACTGGCAGACCGCAGCCGGAGCGAAAGAGGCCCCCGTTGCACTTGTCGCCGTGGCCCCATATTGTGCCTTGCAGGCCTTGCAGGCTGCTGCCTGCTTTTCGTGTGTCAGCCTCCTGCTGTTGCTCTTCTGCTTTGGCCTCTTCGGTTTGCAGGCTTCCCCGCCGCTGCTCCTCTTCGCCATGGATGTCAGAAGCCGTGCAGCTCGGCCGCTTGCACGTCGACTAGGTGCGCAAGCTGTGATGAGTACGTATTAACATGGGCCTGCCAGTCTCATGGTTATTGCGTGCATTTTGTCTTGTGCTTGATTGAGCTTCCAAGCATAAGCTTCGAGGTTAGGTGTGTTGCAGGGTTTCGGGTGGTTCGAGGCATCGAATGCAGCGAATTGTATCAGAATCGTCCAGAGCGCAGGGTGTCGGCGATCAAATCCTCCGCTGTGTAGCCACGGCGATAGCTTAGGGAGCCAGCATTTTATGGGGATATCTATACCATATTGGGCTTCTTTATAAGGGGGTTAATTTTAACGCTACGCCGCCCGCCTCGGCTGTGTAGCGGCAGGGCGAGGGGGCAGTCGATGTTTTTTTATGCTAGGGCGTTTACACGGTTGTTGATACGAAGTGCGAGGAGAATGGGTAGGGGAGGGGGGGGAGGGCGGGGAGGGGGGGGGGGAGGGGGGGGGGGGGGGAGGGGGGGGAAGGGGGGGGAGGGGGGGAGGGGGGGGGGGGGGAGGGGGAGGGGGAGGGTGCCTGAGGTAACCCCCAAGACGCCTGGGCCTCTGGCCTCGGCGGATATGGGATATCCTTATTTCAATTTTTGCTTATGTGCTTTTTTGGGGCCCTAATAGCGGTGTGGTGGACATTGGATTGGCTGGTAGACCGCAGCCTGCCTTGCCTTACGACCAAGTGCACGCGGTGTGACGTCGGAGCCAACAAGTGTTTTTCAGAGATCTGGCAATTGAGCACGCCGATCTGTCCGAGATTTCGATGCAAATAGCTCCTGCCATGATACGCAAAGGCAGCGTTGAACAGTACTTGGCAGTGCAAGGCTTTGCAGCACAGCTTGTTCATTTGGGCGGGGGTGGCGAGAGTCTGGCGAGGGTTACGCTGTCCAGAAGCTCCGCGCGACTGCCGATATCTAGCTTTCTCTCGAAATGGAGGCTGGACATGGAGATTTTCTGATTCATCGGGTCCCTGGATAAACGCTACAGGCCTCGAGCCTGTGCTTCTTCGTGGGCGGCACGATGAAGCATCCCAGACGCACTCGAGAAGCATCGCAAGGCGAGAAGAGAGGCATCGCTTCTTTCATTCAGAGGCCGCTCTTTCAAAAAGCTTGGAGCTCCTCTCCCGCAAGCAGCCGGGGACCCTGAGATTCTGGGCCCTTCAGCCTTCAGTCCGGCCCCTGGCGTCAGTGGCACTTAATGGCGCTTAGGTTTTTCGAGTTGGCCGACCCCGAGGAAGCTCGGGAGATGCGAGCTGCTTGGGCCCCAGAAGGCTTGGTGTCCCTTGTAAGCTGATCAAGCTTGCAGCGTCTTGCAAGGCTTCAACTCGCAGCCTCGTCATACTCCGTTCAGATGCTACAACCTGGGAGAGGCATAGTTGGGATTATTGTAGCGCAGTCGTTCGAGTGGGCCGATTGTCACATTTGCAGGCAGGCGGTGCACCAGCAACGCATGAAGCGGCGACCCAAGCCTGCGTTCCGCTAGCGATTTACCATTTCTTGATTCACTTGTCCCACACGGGCGTAAGACTGTGCAACAAGACTGTCTTTTACGCACAGCTGTTCAACCGTCCTGAGTTCTGGTCGTTTGTGACAGGTCTAAAAAGGATGTCTGCGGAACCAGCGGCCCTGCCTGTGTGTTGTTTCGTGTCATCAGCAAGGGACTCACACAGTCTGATGCCCGCCAAGCCCATTCACAAGTTGTGCTCGGACTCTTGCCTGTGTCACCGGTCTAGTCCGAATGAGAAGAGCTTGGGAGTGGTCCCGCCCCAGGCTTGACATTGGCATTCTGCAGGCTCGCGAAGGGAGTCGGGGCGCATTGATGTCAAAGGTCAGCTTTGCACACAGCTTTTGATGGGTGTTCAACACAACGAGTTGCCAGAGCCTCCTTGGTCAGAGGCTTCCGCGGACAGCGATTTCCATGGCCGTGCACTAGCCTTCCGGCCCGGCGAGGTGACATCCAGTGCTGCAGCATTGCCGCAAATTCACCGCAACTTCAAAGAAACTTCAACTCTTCAGGACCAGCCTCGACACTTCAATGAAGGCTCTGCTGAAGAGTTTCGCGCGCTGCCTTCCTGCATTTACGCGGCTCCATGGATCCTGTTCGTGCAAGTCGTTGGGCTGCTTCTTTGAAAGGATCAGCACAGTTTCTCGTCCCTTTGACATTAATGCCAAGGTGGCTTCTGAATGTTTCAGTCCCCTGCCTGGCGCAGCACTAAGTTCGTGGCAGCAGGCAGCCAGGTAGCTTGCCGTTTTTGGAACGACTTCATGCTTCAGGTAGTTGGATGAAGGACATCTACTGTGTCGCTGTATATCCGAAGGGCAATCCATGCCTCCTGTCCGCACCCAAGCGCTTCTCTGAGGGTGATGTCCGCGAGTTCGCAGACGAGGAACCCTATGAGGCGCATTGGAGGAAGAGTGTGAATTACCTTGACTCCGACCACATGGGCTTGACAGGATGTCGGCCTGCCCATCGCGAAGCTCTTCTTGAAGGGAGGAGGGTTGGATACTGCCGCGCGCAGCGTGCGAAACTTAAACTTCTGTGGAACCTATGCCGAAGTACCCAGACGAGACAGACATCCTAGAAGCAGGCTCCAATTAGATTGCTTACAGACATGAAGTCAAGTCCTTCATGAGTGGCACGCGAAGCCTACACCGAGGCCATGTTTCAGCTGTGCAGCCGTTTCTTTGGCCGAATGGCATTTACCGTGCGAAATGCTTCTCTGGGTGGGGCGCCGAGGGCTCGACGCAGTTCCGCAGTCACTCCTTCGGCTTCACTGCGTCCACGCATCAGGGTCATCAGATTGGCGACAGCACGGAATACCACCAGGCCAAGCTAGGATTTCAAATCTGGCACCATTTATGAGCCTTGTTTTTTCGTTCGAGCAAAATCTCATAGTTGGATGCAGTCTGTTTGCTAAGGCGGAATGTTCTCCTAAGGGTCCAAGTAGTCGTTATTTATGGTTTTAGTGCCTGGAATGGCCCAACAGTCTTGAAATACGGAGTACTTGAACCCTGAGGGTTCGTAATCAACAGAAAACGTGCACTCCACGTGCAACATACTATGCCGGCCTTAGCCAGTTGATTCTTTTTGAGCAGCTTGTCGAGTCATGTAGACCTTGGGCACTGCCCCGACTCAGTAACAGTTGGATAATATTCATAATATAGATATATTAGGATCTTAATAGTAGCCTATTATAGACTGTTACTGTATGCTTGGCAGTACCCAATGTAGACCCCTACATTCCATGCTTGTTTTAGCATTCCCCCTGAAGGAGTCGAAGCTCCGTTAGCGCAAGTAACCTCAGTGCAGTTTGTTTTCCTTTCGACCGACAGACTGACCCGGGGCTCGTAATCTTGGACTTGACCAGCGTGCAAGGGGGGTGGCGTGTGATCCTGGGTTTCGCCAGGAGTTCAAGGGGGGGGAAGGTGCTCGTAGATTTGAGCAATTAATTTCAAACGCTCCGCCGCCCGCCTCGGCTCTTTAGCGGCAGGGCGAGGGGGCAGTGGGTGTCGTATACACCATGCTAGGGGGGAACGCCGTGCGGTCATGCGGTTGGGAGGGGGGGGAGGGGGGACCGGGGGGGATGGGCGGGAGGGGGGAGGGGAGGGAACCTGAGGTAATCCTCAAGACGCCTGGGTGTGTGGCCTCGGCGGATTAGTAGAGGGACCCTTACAGTGCTGGATTTGGGCGGCGTTCAATTGGGGCTCTCGGAGCCCGGGATCCGATCAAACTAAATGCAAGGTGAGGGTTGCTCTCGGATGTGGGCAGAGTATAAAGGGGCGGCTTGCAGTCCAGGATTTGGGAACAGAGCCTGAGCGGGGGCTTGTGCTTTCGGATTTGACCAGGGTTCATGGTCAAATCCAAAGTACGAGCCTCCTGCCACAACGGGGGAGGGGAGTCGTACTCCGCAATGGGTGTCGTCACGAACTCGGCCCGGCCCCCTCCCTCGATACGGGCGCCCCGTGTGCTTTTGTTCTTCGAGCCGGACTCATCCTTTGCATTAGTTCTGCTTTTCCGGGATGCAGGTCGCTTTCCTGCCTTCGCAGTGGCCATGAGCACTGCATACAACACCCCGAGGCCCTCTTTGCAGAGCAAGGGAAAGAGGTTTGACTAAAGCGAGCAGCCCGAGCAGCCTCAGGGACTCGGTTGAAATTCTTGGAGACTCTACAGACTCTACGGTGCAGGTTCGGTTTCCTGGGCATTCCCAAGAATCAGACCGAGGAAGCCACGTCTGTCACCAAAGCATGCGCGACCGATGTGTTTGACTGCCGATTGTTGTCTTTCAAAGAACGATGAGTGCCCGAGGAGTTTTGGATGAGTCCAGCACGCCAGCTCCTGATCGATTTTGTCGAGGTTGCTGGTGCCAAAGCAGACTAGTCCGGATGCCATGTCACGTGGGCAACCAGGCGGTCTGGTTGGGCGGTGCAGTCGTTGCTGCTCAAGCGAGCTCCTTTGCGAGGGTGGAGATAATCTCGAGTTGTCGTAGAGCCCTCGCCAAGAACAAATTGTATAGTGTTACCAAGCAATCCACCAGTGCCGGCTCTGCAATGGTTCGAAGCCCAGTGCGATTCTGCAGGGATGGGGATGTCGTATGTATGATCACTGATTTCGAGTTTCCGGATCCGAGGTCGCCGATGCTCTTCCCAATCCTTTGATGCCGCCCCGTGCTCCTTGTAGCCAGCCACTGAAGACCCCGCCAGAGAGCGAAGATCTTCACGGCTTCATGCTCCCTCCACCTGCAATTGACTCATGCGGTGCATATGATGATATCTCCAACCTCGATTTCGTGATCCCACGCTGTACTGTCGATTCCTGGCAATGGCTTGGATTCTTTTTTTTCTGCTTCTGTGGCACAGAGACTGACTGCTGCTCTTTACTCTTACCCAGGAGGCTTCGCCCATCGGCCTGGGCTTCCCCTGGAACGAAGATTGCAACGCAGGTGGCAGCCTCCTGTTCAATATGAAGTAGACTCGTCGATGCTTGATGACACCCGAAACTGTGGGCCCTCACAGGAGTGCAAGGATGGCACATAGTGGATCTCCTTGCGTGGCTGAGTCCCACGGGGGCGGCATTCATATATTTACATGCATGAGCATCCTGCGTGGGGTGAGAGGGGTGAGAAAACAAGCCTCGTCTCTCTACCTGTGTAGATTTTACACTGCCTCCATTGCTTTGCTTGCCCTTAGCAAGCATGTCACGCGACTTGATTGCAGCCCAAGCCCCCTGTGACAAAGCACCAGGGTTGACTAAGCGGTAGAGTAGTGTGTGATAATCCTCGAAACTTCAGGTTATCAGCAGTAGGTAGCTAGCAATGTCAATTGTTTCATTCACTGGTGGTGGATCTTCTTCAAACGAAGCACAGCAAGAAACAGCAGTGAACAATCTTTCGATGCAATTGCTTCAGGAGAACAGACAAGTCAATGTGTTCGTCCACAACCCAGAACATCAGCAAGCGATCGAAGCCCAGGCCGAGGCAAGACACACAGTAGGGCTTGCCCAAATTTACAGTGAAGCCTACATCCACAACCTAGAGGCCCAGGCGGACGCCGCTCACAGGAGCCAGTTCTCCTTTGTCGGTGACGGCGGCACGTGTGGCCCAACTGAACAACGAGAACAACTTCTACAAGAACGAGCGCCTAACTAACGAAAAGAGCCCAATCCGAACTTTACCAGGCACGGGTAGCACCCTTGGAGGCAGAATGCCATGAGGAACGGCTGTTGGCGTCGCGACTCACTGTGCAAAGACTCGAACTCGAGGCACGCGCGTTGTCGCTCGACACCACAGCAAGACAGCACGAACTCGTACTTCGTTCGACTCTAATCGCACTCAGCTTCTTGAGTGACTGGGTCAGGAGTTTGAAGAGAAGCTTCAGTGGGATGAGAACGAGAATGCATATTGCATGTAACTGAGGAACACTTGGTCCAGGATTTTCAGGAACAAAATGCGGAACTCCAAGCTGAGGCCAACTCAGTGAGGTCAGCATTTGCAAATCAGCCGAACAGCTTAACGCAGCTGGAGCCACGCCGGTGACAGGGGTTGGTTTGCAAGAGAGTACCGGAGCTGATCCAAGCCCGCCGTAAGGTGGTGTCACAGCATCTGGTGTTGGACTTCAGAGTCAGGGGCAGTTCATGGATTCCCACGTCGCCTGACCCTCGTCAGATTCCCAAGGAACCAGCGGCGGTTTCCGCAAGGCTTGAGAGTTTCAGCACTGGCGATGAAGCCCAAAGTGTAGTGGAGCTACTGACATCCTCGCCCAGGCCCCCGAAGCAGCCATCAACAAACCTGATGAAAGCAGACCTAAAGCAAAAGAGGCCGAGCCAGTACCCCGAAACTTATACCGGTCATGGAAGATTTCTGTCCGAGAGGCGGTGAGGGCGGCTTCTGATAAGCCAGACGAGGCATTCAAGCGCTTCAGGACGTGTGTGACCGCAGCGCAACCATTGAGGCACTCCGGAAAGACGGTAAGTTCCTTACTTTGGACACAAAGAGTAGCAAAAGGGGAGCTTAACCGACAAACCATCAACTACAAGGAGTCGGAGGCTTCAGCGGGTCGAGCAGTTCGTGGGAGGCAGGTCCTACTGATGTTCGAGCACTTCTTTAAAACGAATGAAGAAGCAGACTCATGTTACGGTGTCGAAGATCTTCGCTTGAAAATCGCGGGTCTCAACCACCAGCCCGAGGAACCGCATGGGATCTGCGACGTGTCCTTGGCTTTCCGCCACCCTTTCTACACCGCCTTTGCCCCTTCGGACGGAGTTTGTCGGCTTGAACATGTTCGAACGGGCATGTGTTGCTCTTTGGGCAATTGCCACGCTCAAATGCATAGCACGGTTTCTTTGCACCACGTCCACGAGGAGTGCTCGGAGTGCCGTCGTCAGAGGGAGCTGGGGTTCCATATCGTGCTCCGCATGCTGTTGCGATTGCTATCCTATTCCGCCGTTTTTCTCTTGTATATAGGCGACACACTTCAAGAAGTACTCGTATGTATGCATCAGTTCTCTCCTTGGCACGATCGTATGCCTCCAAATCAACCTTTAACCTGTTCAGTTGTAAACGCCAAGGGCATCTGCAGAAAATGAAAGAAGTGCCCATTCTTCCATAAGGACACGTGGCCCTGGTGTTCCGGCCAAAGGTGGCACGACAAGGACGGCAAGCAGCGATCCCCGCCCTAGCAAGACGAGGGGAAAGCGTGCCAATAAGAAAGCGGCATGCTGCATCCATTCTTTAGCCACCCTCACGGGTGAGTCATCGCGTTGCAATGGGCATAAGTTAGCGTTATTCGCCGGTAAGGGCGAAGCCATTCTCAGGGATCATTGGGTTGCGGACGAGGAAGAGGGCAGTTGCGTTCGGATCCATCAGCAGTTTCGCTGTGGCTTCTACACCCCACAGCCCGAACATTGCCCGGTTCCGTTTTGGAGACTCAAGAGCATTGATGAGGCTAGAGTGTACGGATGAGGGGGATCCGGCTTCTTCGTCGAGAAGGAGTACAATTTCAAGTCTCAGGTTCCGGGTGGATAGGTGGATTGGCGCAACAACATTCTTCCTCAAACCCAAGAACATTGGTGTAAGCTTGATCAAGACCAAGAAACCCGAAGTCTTCGACGTCCTCCTGAGGGCGACGGCTGGAAGTTCATCAGCCCCAAGAACGTTCCCAGCACCGGCCCCCAACGTCACGAACGATGCTTTGGAATCTGCAGCTTTCCTATCGCCACGACACGTCTAGAGAGTACATGAGTCATCGAACACGACATCTTCCTCACGGGCGAGCCAAGCAAGCCCCGGGATCGGTTTTGTCAAGATCATCGAAAAAGTCGAAGTGCCACTGTTTCAGCTGCGTCATGCCTACGACGAGTTCAACGCCCTGATGTTTCGGGAGTTTGGGTGTCCAGGCCTGCAGACCCAGACAGCGACACCGTGCATGGAGCGCTTGGAAATGTACGCTAGCTTCCATGCCTTTCGTGGCGTACATGCACGCTGCACTGAATCTCTCGAGAGCAGAATATTTGGCTGAGAATATGCCACCGGCTTTTCAGGCTCTAATCCCTCGCTTCCCGCACGTGGAGTATGTCAATGCCCAGAACAAAGATGAAGGAGACTCTTGTGCAGTGGACGGAAGAGAAGGAGAAATTCCTGAGCCCGCCAGCCACCAACCAAGACGAAGCATGAGGTTCGCAGTGAGGAGGATATGCGTTGGGAGGCCCCTGACGTTGCTCGGGCTGATGTCTATGTCAATCTTCCCATGTCGCCTCTGGAGGATCAAGCCATCTACAAAGATGCACGGGTGTTTGGTGCGAGCGCTGATGTGAAGCCACTCTAGCAGTACATCAACGATGACGTGCTGCAGGACGACCGTGGCAAAGTCACCTATGCTCCCCCATTCCCCGTGGAGCTCGTCGATGATGTGGAGTATGAAAACCCCGTTCCATCCACAATGAGTCGTGTGGTCGAAAAGGCTGCTCCTGCAACCCGTCCGAAAACGTGCATGGACGAGGATTCTCTCAGAACTGAGATGTACGTTGACCGATGCGCCCGTAAGGGGCAGCCGTGGTGGGTGTAGCGCCGGCATTGTTATACTACTACAACGGGGTATCCCAGCCGCTGCTTCCGCTTAACCCTGAGGAAATCGTTCGGAAAAAGAATGTGAAGCTTACGCGTGGAGATCTTAAGTATCTTACGAAACTCCTCCGGGCGACAACGGCAACTTCGGCCTTGTCTATAATGATTCTAATGCTGGGTCCCCGGGTGTTGGGCGGATGTCCAGAGTCCTCACGACGTTGGAGCGCGGCAGTTGTTGAAGGCGGTCAAGACGATAAAGTATATCGACCTTGATGCCGCCGGAGCCCTGCAGATGACCGTGAGCAAGGGTGTGACCAGTCTTACCAAGGAGGAGATCATCGGACAGCAGCGGCAAAACTGCAAGGCATCCTTGCGGCTGGCCCCATGCCTGGATCGAACAGCAGCGGCAGGGCTCGCAACTACTTGTCCGCGGTTGGCGTCGACGACGCCCAATACAAAAGTGGGACTGAGACGCGCTCAAATCAGCCAATTTGAGATTCGAGATTTCCATCGACGCCTTGAAGGCCGCGGAGAATCTCGAAGCCACCCGCGAGGGTGAGCCACAGTTCCGCCAACAAAGTGTATGAGGAGCTTGCGAGCTCATCGTCTGGCCCGACGATGCCGAAGGCAGAGGCGGCAAAGGCAAAGCCAGTCGCCACGAAGGCTGTGCCCAAAGCAAAGCCAACCTCATGCATCGACAAAGCGATTATAACACTGCCACCCGCAAGGGTGCTGCAGATGATGGTGGAAGCATCACCGAGGTGGAGGATGGACCCGACGACCCGATCGGGTCATA